CAGATGACACCACACCACCTCCCTCCATCTTCAATCCCACTTTTTTACCCAAAAAAGATTTGGTTAACTTGGAAAAAAAAAAAACAAAATCAAAATTTATATTAATTATAATTTCTTTAAAATAAATTAAAATAACAATAAAACAAAAATAATAATAACAAAAAGATAAAAAAAAAACAAAAAACAAAAAACCATAAAATCAATAATAACTAAAATAGTATTAGGGGTGTCAATGACAATGGATAAGGGTGCCATTAGCCTCCACAAAAAATAATAATTTTTTTTTTAAAAAACACATATTTAAAAAAATATTAACGAGATAAGTTTTCTTCTGTTAATTGTATTAATATTGATATGTTAATGAATAACTTAGAATTTTTTAATTCATTTAATATATTTATTAAATAACATGTAAAATATTTAAATATTAAAATTAAAAGTATATTGTTTAATAATTAATAGATGTTATAATAAAATAATTTTGAAAGTACAATAAAATCATGTCATTATAGTACATATGGACACCTTACATGGACAATGAGATGATATGAAAACCTGGTACAATAGGTAAATTTAAATCAAAAGATTACTCAATACTATAATGAGTAAATATTTCAACGTACAGTGTTCTAACAAAAAATAGTTTGAAAATATATTGCTATTTTGTACATTTTGACCAACCGAAAAAAGAAATTCTGGACAAATTGAAATAGAAAAACTCACAGAAACACAAGGAGCAAAATCATAGTGAATTCCACTGGCCCTAACTTCAATAGCTGTAACTTCCCCAATTCTCCGAACCAAATCAGCATCCCTAAGTCACAAATTCACATAGACATATCATCGAACACCATAGCTACAAAACGCACAACTTCAAACAGAATATAAAAACACACACACACACACCTGGTAGCTCCGAGACCAACATTGTGCGGAAAAACTGTAGCGCCATATACATTATTGTTACCATGAAGAGCATTAATCCCGTACAAAATGGGAATCCCTAACCGTGAGTCGAGAGCAGACTTCTGAAATGAATCAACCATATCCGCCCAATTGGACGCCGTTGCTTCCTCGAAAGGCCCGAAGCCACCACAACTGAGAACACTACCGATGCATAGATCTTTGACGACGGAAGGAGTGGCGACGCTGCGTTCGATCTGGGTCATCTGACCAATCTTTTCTTTTACGGTCATGCGAGAGAGAAGGTCCTTGATTCTTGATTCGATTGGCTCATTCGGGTTCTTGTAGATGGGATTCTCCATTTTCGTTCAGATTGTTTGAGTGGGTTTCTTAGAAAAATCTGGATATGCAGAGTGGAAAGGTCAACGAGAAGAACTGATTGAGTCCACCATACATGAAAATCCCATGGAAATCAATCAGCTGCTTTCATCGTAAATACAAACCATAACCAGAAGAATGAAGCTTTTGATACGTGTCACCTTGGACGATGCATGAGTGAGGTCGTGTAAGCTTTACAAGGAATATTCAGGAGTCGTGTCACCACCATAAACGGTGTTCATGTGTTCCACTTTGTATTGTCAACCAAAACAAGTTTTAAAAAGGAAAAATTTAATCAAATAATCATTTCATTTATTTAAATTGATTTTTTAAGGTTTATTTACGAGAAAAGTTTGAAAAATTCAAAAACTTTAGTGTTTGGAATAATTAAAATTTTAAAATAAATAAGTTTTTGAAAAATTCAAAATTTGTTTAATAATTTTTTGGATTTTTTAAAACATATTAGATACATCCTTGTTACCTATATAACTGGTTAATATGGTAAAATAATAGAAAAAGTTTGAAAAAAAAAAACCAATGAATTTTTATATTTAAACGATTAAGTCCCTAAACATTTTTTGAATCAAAAAATTATTTACATCTATAAAATAAAACAAATATACCAAAAAAGTATTTTACATATACGAAGAAGTACTTATATTTAAAAAAATTATTGATGAAATTCATTTTAATT